ATATTGATAGAAATAAAAGGAAGTATGATTCGATACTTCAAACAACTTAAGCACTGCAACAATATATTTTAAATGTAACATATATGATTAAAATTATTCTGTTAGTAATTTATCATAAACTATCCGAACCAGAAACCAATGTAGATGAAAAAATCTGCACCATACATAGCAGTATTTTCGATCTCTTTCCCGGTTCACGGGGGCGATGTATTTTGATGAAAGAGGTATTAAACGAAATGGAATTTCATGGAGAAGAGGCGAATCATAATTTCGAAACCTTAATATAATTACAATGAAAGTAAAAAAAAATTAGGATATTTTAAAACAGATGGTTTCAAAAGTCGACGGATCGAGACGAGATAAATTATATTTTAAAACATTCAACGCAGACAAATAACTATACTAAGCTCTACGTTTTAAAGACATAAAATAGACTATTTTTGAGATAACGCATGGGTCCAAACTTATGCAAGTGAAAGTGAATGAATCTTGATGCCATGTTTGCCATAGATTCCTAATCCCATAAAAATTAAAATATCTTATTTATTGAAGTCTATCTTTATATATTATTTCTCAAAGATGTTTTTTTTTGTATACCAAATTTTCGTTAATGCTTCATCAAATTCAATAATTGAGGTTGCTGCAAGTACAAAAAATAAGCACATCTCACAGAAAATCAGGAAAAAACTTATGAAGAAATGGAAGCATGCATTGGTGGTTGATTATACCCACTGTGGTTTGATTTTGTTCTTAGTCCCCCACAAAATTAAAAATAAAAAATAATCAAAATCTGGACCACGTTCAGCAAAGAAACTGCTATAAAATTGTAATTTTTATTCATGTTTGGCATATTATTTTTAATTAGAATTAATTCCTGCCTGAAACTTCATACTGTCTCAATAATAATTGATGGTGTAAGGCCCTTTAAAAAAAAAAATAGGTTTATGCATGCGTAGGCAAAAATAGTAAATAGGATTTAATAAAATTTACATGGGATCATCTTAATGCCAACTGGCACAATTATTTAAAATGTAAAAATCAGATTAACAATAGTAGGTATTTGTCCATTGAAAATGAAGGGATGGAGCAAGAAAAAAATAAATATATAAATTCATCAATGATAAAGCCAATGTAAGGTTTTACCAATCAAATTTTAACCTTTTTGATTAACCTAACATTTTCTAATTATTTTTCTTTTCTTTTTAGTATTTAACTTGTTTTTTAAAATCAAATTAATTATTTTTCCAATTCAATAATTAATATTGAAATTATATTGGAGCTGTGAGTGTTACTAGAACAAATAATGTTTACACACTAAGCCACAAACTAAAGACTTCGTAAATTTGATTAAACAAATTTACCTGCTTTCTTTATAAACAACATTATTGCTAATAAAACAGAAACAGTTTGATTCTCGGGTGCTAACTATTTAATAATAATAAGTTGTAAAATACAATAAAATAATGGAAGTTTCTGTTAATTAGTAGGTATCACTGCTGCTTACCCACATACCTTGAAGAACCATTTTCAATGAATTAGCGCCAGAAGAAGGAGAAATATTAAATCCTTAAATCTATTATCTATGAAATCTATTATGTACCTATTTCTCGCCTATTAAACTTATTTGAGAATAGAAAATAAATTATTTAATATTCTGCATTTATCAATATTACATTTATAGTTGATCAATAACAATTTATCTCTTCATCGACTGGATATTTTAGAATTTATAAACAGAAAGTATAAAAATTGAAAACATTTTATAACCAAGTGTTAGTAGAGCTAGATTAATCCAGTGTGGCGTTTGAAACAAATATTCTGAGCAGGGCCTACATTTCGTATGATAAGATAAAACATAAATTAATTAACAATCTTTGTTGTGGGTAAATTTAGAGATAACACTAGACAACTTAACTTCGATAAATTAATTATTTTCTCATTGTTCTCATAAATCATTAATTCATTATGTAAAATATGTTATTCATGTTACTTGCTATAATATCAAAAAAGAATGTTCATTGCTCTAAATAGTAGCAAGCGCTATAGCATACAAAATGTATGGTATAAAATTTTACGAACTTCACATTTTCTATTCTATATTTCAGAAACCTGTGGTATTTGCTACTTCTGCTACATTGGTAAAATGCTAGAGACCTTTTGATATAATGCTGGCCTAATTATTAATAATTGCAGGTATTAATGATAATTAATATATAAGTAAAACAAATTTGAAAAGCTACATGGTACATCTAAATTCCTGATAATACTAACTATGCTAAAACCACTATGCCACTTAATAACTGTGTTTTTACTTCCAGATATAACACAAAATCTTATTCTTCATTTCTTACATATTATTTATCACCTTATTATTATACCGCTGTTAAGAATACATCTATTTCAATAATGAAACTAACCTGATAAATGAAAAATCTTAACTAGCCTTATATATAAAAATCTATTGATTGTAGCATTTTTCATTAATCTACATTATATTATTTTTATTAAACCAACATCAACATGTGAAATTGCCAATAAATGATATGAAGACTAATAAAACTACAAAATATTAAATTAAAGCATCCCGACATCAGGAATACTATTTTTAATTGAAGTATTGTTAACATTTGTAAGTTTTTAAAAAATAAACTTAAATATCAATGTGAAATTTGTGCCAAATAATATAAATTTCTAGTTGAAACTTAATAATCTTTTGTTTTAATAAAGTCTGTTAATGTCAATCTAGTTAAATAACTATTGCAAGTTCTTTTTAATCATGAAATGTAAATAAAATCTTAATATTGTAGAAAAAACCATTATACTTTATTACTTAACTTTTCAAATTTTTATTAAAAACAATTTTCTTTATTCTTATTATTAATTATTGATATATTTTAAAATAAATAATTGCAATGAAATAAAATCAAATAAATGGTTGTAAATTATAAAAATGAAGTATTTAACCAAACTTATTCAACAATTTATAATACACTGACAGGCAAAAAATTCCACTCACTTGATTTTTTCATGTTTTCAACTAAAAATATTTTTGCTTTGGATTGGTCTATTGTTTTTAATGAATAAATAGGTAATCTTTTTGTTTGTTTTCAATAAGGAATGTTAATATAGAGGACAATAACCCTTAATCCTTAATTCAATGAAATGATATTTATAAGATCCAAATATTTACTTTCTATGGAATCAAAATGTTTATTCAGTATCATTAGTTCAGTGCCGTTTCTTGCAGCACCTTTCTTAGGCTGCGGCTTTTAATTTTTTCAATGTTAAGTTTAAAAATGCCTCTTAGTGCTGAGGATGTTGCGCGTGTTGTGGCACTTATTGATGATGGACGTTCCATTAGATATGCAGCTAATGCCATCGGAGTTCCATATGAAACTTTACGAGACGCCATCAGGTGTTTTCGGGAAACTGGTTCTTACAATAGAAGGCCCGGTTTTGGACGGCATAGGGTAACAGAACCAAGGGATGACCGGTTTTTGACTTTGAGAATTTTACGAAACCGGCACCTTATCGTTGTTCAAGCGATTCATCAGCTCGAAGAAGTTCAAGGTGTGCAAATTTCTGGATGTACCGCTCGGAGAAGATTAAATGAGTATGGATTAATGGCTTTTCGTCCAGTAAGAGGACCAGAGTTGACCAGAACTCACAGAGTAACACGGCTGGCTTTTGCTCGAGAACACAGCCATTGGACTATGGACGAATGGAGTACTGTACTTTTTACAGATGAGTCAAAATTCGCTCTTCCATCTCCAGAGGGGTGTGAAAGGGTGTGGAGGAGAAGAAACGAAAGATATGCAGCCTGTAATTTTTCCCAGAGCCAACCTTTCCAATGTTGTTCCTTAATGGTTAGGGCTGGGATTTCAATAGAGCGCCGCACAGAATTGGTTGTTGTTCGTGGAGGGTCTTTGACGGCCATTCGCTATGTAGATGAGATTTTGGATCCTCATGTGTTGCCTATCCTCAACGAAATCGGCGATCGTTCTATTCTAATGCACGATAATGCACGCCCACATGTCGCCCGCATAGTGCAGACATTCCTTCAACAGAACAATATTGAGGTTTTAGCCTGGCCAGCACGTTCTCCAGATTTGAACCCCATTGAGCATTTATGGGATAACCGAATAAGAGATCCGATAATTTATGGGAAGATGAATAGGAGCGCGTGCAACACTTCCTGATACACTGCAGGACCTTGAAAGGGCTCTTCGGGAGGAATGGGCTATCCTCCAGCAAAGGGACATTTCCCGACTGGTGGAAAGTATGCCGAAGCATCTTCAAGAAGTATTAAATTCAAGAGGAGGAAACATGCGCTACTAAACGATGATGTAATTACTTTCTTTTAGAATAATAATGGTTCGTTTTTTAATTTTTTTTTTCTCTAATGTTTCTTACCCAAAAACATTTGATTATTAAAGGTAAAAAATATTATAAAATTACATAAATACTAAGTATTATCTACAAATACCATGTATTATATTCAAATACAACTTTTACAAGTGGAAAAAAATATATATTTATACAGAAATATTTTTAGATGAAAACATGAAAAAATCAAGTGGGTGGAATTTTTTGCCTGTCAGTGTATAATTTTAGAAAAAATATTACTTATGAAACCTTATACATAAGATAAATCTTTTTAATTTTTAAGCTTAAATATGTTATTCACTTAAAATAAGTAAAAATAAAATTTGGACAATTTTAATTTAAATCTAGTCTAATCTAACTTCATCTCAATATTTAAGTGGTTCTCTTTATTAAGTTGGGATTTAAGAATATATCACAATAATTCTAATAAAACTTTTTGTTTCTCAACATTAACATTTATTGTCTAAATCCTTTTCTGACTGTAACCCCATCATACAATTTTAACCTTTTCCAAATAATTTAATTAATTAAAAAGAAGAAACTATGTTAGTGATAAATATTTACTAATAAAGTTCCATAATGAGATAAAAACTAAGACTAATTTGTTTTAATACCTTCGCATTTCAGCCCTTGTCGAAATAGGCCATATAAGAGAGACCCGCAGTGGGAACAGAATGTAGGTGACATAAAGGTGTGTTGCCTGAATCTGTGAGGTACATCCAGCTTAAAGCGCTCCCTGAGGTACTAAAAAGGTAATTCGGTTTGTTTCAATGCTTATAAATTGATCTTCACTAAGAAATAGTATTTGTTAATTTCCAGTTAATAATAAAAACATCTAGAATAGTTATGGTCAAAATCTTTCAGTACCTTGAAAGAATATTTGCTCTCTTTGATATCGGGATAAAGAGATTATCAAACTCCGGCTCAAATGAAGAGGATGTATCGGGACATGGGGGACTGGTGACAGGATTCGATGGAATGAGGCCCTTCTATGCCAATAATGGCTCAAAGACGAAAATGAGAAAAAAGAGGAAGGGATTATTCAAGAGGATACAATCAAATAATGGAAACATGGTGATAAAACTTAAAAGTCTGTCCACAGTACTTTTAGAAGAAAAATGGCTCCTGGAATACTGGAATGCATAAGAGCATGGAGGATTATTTGTTAATCTTCAGAAACATGGCCATAACATTAACTGAAAGAGAGTTCTCACAGCTATTTATTAGGATAATTTTTTTTATACCTTATATGGCATTCTGTGAGGGGGAAGGTGGAAGGAGGTTGTTCTAGAGCTGCAACAAAACCTATTCTAACTCGAGTGGGTAGGATTTATTGCCACAAACATAATAAGATTATATTTATATATAATAGCTTAGGAATTATTCCCAAGGATAAAATAGGACAACTATTTGTATAACAAGGCCTTAGTATCATGGTAGAAAAACATTTTGCCTTCAGGCAGTGGAAGAATTCTTTGTATATTTTTGTATTTTATATATTATATTTTGTATATTGTTATACTTATATATGTAATTGTAATTAAATAAACTTTCTGAAGGGGCTAGAAAAAAAAAGGTAGGAAAACAGGTATCAGTTCAGCTCACTTCAGTCTGCAGAGAAGAGGAATTATTCCTGGAAGATCTCCGGAAAATGCAGACATTTTGGCAGATGATGATATTACTGTTTAACAAGTAATCAATATAATAATAATAATGCTTTATTTATTCTGGAACGAATCTCTTTAGAATAATACAGAAAGACAAAAATGTGGGCTAAGGAGCCTAAGAGATACATAAACAAAAATATGGAGTAATTAAATAGTCATAATAAAAGAAATTATAAGTTGCTTTCTAACTTAAATCAGTTAATAGTAAAAATAAAAAAATTAAAATAAACATGAAGTAAAAATAATGATAACAGTCTAATAATTTATATACATACTTACAGTGGTAACTATTTACAATTTTATGGGGACTGGATGGATAAGAAATGGTTGAACAAACAGGATTTAAGGGTAGGAAGGGTATTGGATTGACGGATGTGGGGAGGGATGGAGTTTATTATATGGAGTTTAAGTTCCATAGGGGGTGAGGATCGGATAATGAATGATCTGTTGAAAGCAGCAGTTCGGTGGGCCCTTACATATAAATCAGAAGACCGGCAACGAACAGAGGATTTGAATTGAAGGAGCTCGGAAGGGCGGTGGATTGGATGAAAAAGAGGAAGGATGCCAGAAAATACTTACGACGGTAGGAAAGATAAAGCCACTTCAACTCTGCATAAAAACGGGAAACAGCGTTGTGTTCAATTCAAAAATACGTAGTGAATAATATTGAATTTTATGTTTACTGGCTGGATTGGGATATCTTCTTTAGTATCTCACTGCGGCCAAACCTATTTAGCCTAAAGGCAAGGTAAGGTCTTATAAATAAATAAATTCTTTAATATAGTGAATTACACTGTTTTTTATATTTTAAAAATTATTGCCAAAAAATACTGAGGTTGTTACCACCCATACACTTATGCATAACAAATTAAATACAAATTTTGAGACAAGTAGCAATGGAAAGTATATATTATTACCGTATTAGCCTCTTGCTTCATATTTGGTACAAAAATAATGGAAATAAAAGATTAAAATGCAGTTAACAAGCTAAATTTGTTTTTTTGGGATTGTTGGAAGCAGTCAGACAAACATAATTACAAAAGTCGATCAAATAATTTTATTGTGCTATTAAATATATGTTTATCTGACATTGAATGTTTAATAAACTTTTCTCATGTTAATTCGAAAAAAAAAATCAGAAAAGAAACTTGAGAATAAAGCTTTTAGATTAACAAGGGACATCAAAACAGCTGGATGATGAACTGAGTGCAATAAAGAAATAATGAAATTTCAATTAAAATTTCTGAAGCTAAGAACAATAGATTTTATTTTCTTCTAACTGGTGCATGCTGCCAGTTCGAATAAAACACCTGAATGTGCTGAAATTCACCTGTTCTGGAGTGATGAGGAATGTAGATGTTCAGTGTAATAAAACAACATTGAGATATGTATATTTATTACTGCATAAATTTGTAAAATAAATATGAAATATGAAAAAAAACCATCAAAATTGTATCATAAACATAGGACAAAATTTGTTCAGTCAGTTAATTTGTATCCATTTTTAAAATATTGATACTACTTGTTTAATTCATTTAAAATAATTAACAACTTTACTTAATATCTGAGGATAAATCTTGAACTATTTATTTAATTAATAGTTTCTGCCACCAAAATACCAGGTCCTAGCTAATAAGAACCAAAATATTATTGGACCTACTGAGAAATATTTCACTCAGTTGGTGAGTGAGGAATACTTTCTGCACTTCAAAGAATTCATTTGTGGTTGGAAGATAGCAGTGGGTCCTGTACACTTTAACCTTAGAGTCCAAAGAAAAAAAATATCATAGCACCACAAAGGAATAAGAAGACTGAGGAACAATTGATAATGCAAGATCATCGGAGTGAGTGAAACTCTCTTGTACTCCCCACAAGGCAAAGGAAAGAAGAGAAGAAAAAGGAATTGACAATGATTTTGACAGCAGATAAACAATAAATGAAACAAAAATCTCATCTGTTTTAAGCTGGAAGAATTCAAAGTATGATTTCTTAAAAATTATTGACCTCTTTAACTTTCTTACCTTCCCAACAACGTAATTACAGATCTATTAACAAAATTGAGAACTTTTGTCTGATTCCATTATATAAATTTAAATTTTGTTTGCATGTATATAATAATAATAATTTTGAGATCTCATATTCAAAGTAGTTTAATTAATGAGTGAGTCATCAAAAAGCAGAGTTCAATTATTTGATACCTATTAATCTATAATAACTTATTATAGAAAGAAATTACAGTTTACTATTGTTGCGTTTCTGATACTATTTTGCATTATGATTTAATTATTTCACCTTATTTGGCTTTCAAGTTAAACATTTTTGAAATAATGTAATAATTTGTTTTAAGTTATACCCACTATTGTGCTTTCGGAATCTATTCCTGAACCAGGGCATTTTGTTAGCAATTTTTCGTGACATTTCTTGTGTACTGCTGTTTGGCAACCTATAACAATAATGATTAGTATAATTTATTTAATTTAATTATGATATTCAAAGTAAAACTAATAATTGAAGGATTAAGTGGATAGAGTGTTTTTTTTTTTTTTGTTTTTTTTAGAAAAATGGAATTGCTGTTAATAATAAAGCTCTAAAGTGATATAATACTAATATTTCTTCTTTTCATTCACAAAAATTCAATATTTGGTCCATAACCGAATTTATACAGGTGTCCATTGTCAATAAATTTAATTGGTTTTATTGAATATTCGAGTAATTTGAATTCAGTTTTCTAAAAATTTAAAAACATTACTTATCCCCTTTATCCTTCAATTGTCACATGGGAAATTCAAACATCTTATCATTATTATTATCAAATTATAATATTTTAAATGTTACATTAATTTCTTAAATTTTGAAAGGGCAATGAAAGCAGTCTTGTTTACGAGTAATATTCTCTTCTCTCAAGAAGTAAATTAATTAATTTCATTAAATGTTAAACTCCAGAGGAATAGGCAAGAAGTAGCAATTACATTATTTACACATTTAAAACTAGCGCAATGCAAATATGCAGCTTGAGAGGTTACACATACAATTCCCAATTATGGTTGAGAACAAATTAAATAGTTTTTGTTGATGAACAGAAATATGTACATAGGTATGTACCTAGAAAAGTGCTAAACTTGGATTAACCATATTAAATATCACAAGGATAGTTTCTCAAAAGGGTTTGGGGTACTTGCAGTTCCAGTAGTACTCAAGTCAGAAAGCTGACAGACTGTGCCATCTGAAGACCTATAGAGCTACTAAAGAATAAAGATGGCGGTCACTGATGTGGCTCGATTGTCTACAGTTCCTATAGGACATATGTTCTTAAATTCAAATATATGAATTTGAAAGATATTCTCAAGAACGAAAGATATATGGAAGAACTGAAAAGATATTTATTTAATATTAACGTTTTAATTAGCTTTCTTAACTTGAGAAATAATTGGCTTCCTTACCAAACTGATTTTTTATGAACAATGCATCTGATTTTTAAAAAGTTTTCCATTATTTAAAAAATGTGTTTATTTCAATGATTTGAAAAATCGTATGAACTGTGCAGCATTGGCAATTAAGATTTACAGTATTTACTAAGTCATTAAATTAATAATTTGTAAAATCAATCTTTACTGGTCTTGCAGGACTCAGAAAAAAATGTGAAAAAACTGATGTATTTTTTTCAATGTAACATCATGTTACATCACTAATGATACTATCAGGTAGGAGTAAACTTAATAAATAAGTAAGATCAAATTTTTATTAATTTTATCGTTATTTCATAGTTTTTATAAATTTTGATAATGATACATTGTTAATTTTATTTTGACTTGATTTATAACAAATATGTTATATTTGATTGAGCCTGATGAAGATCTAATGACATTTTTTAGGAACCTAAAAATGGTGGTAAGGAGACATCCACCTTAGGTGGCAAATCTTAATCAAAATACTTTTTTAGCTCAAAAAATTGCCAGCACTAAATTTAGATATACCAACTGAATTATATCAGCGATCCACTTATGATGTATACCTATTATAGTTATATAATGTTTTTTATAAAATCATATAGTATAGTTAGTTTGATTTAAAGTCGATATTTCATTAATATGAAATTAGTTAGAATTAATTAAGCATAGTTAAGTTAGTGTGCGTATACTGTTGAAGTTGGCTTCAACCTTTACTAACGAATTTAGAATCCCAAGGAGTACAGGAAGTCTTTAAATTATTTGCTGTTGCCTGTTTTTGAATATTTAAATAAATTACATACAAGTCTATCAGGGTTTTTTCATGAAAGTTATATGATTTATAAGAACTTGAATATACTTACTTTTACATTGGTATCCTTGTTTACCGAACCCCCTGAAAATCAAATAGGATATATTAATGTTTTATTTATTGTGATAGTTGATTTATGTATTACATTTACACTAAGCAACAATGTTAGAAATAACATAATTTTATTTGTTATGTAATGCTAAGATAGAAAATTTATAAATCTGAGTAGGTTGATCTTATTTTCAACACTCTTTTTGCTTGTTTTTGTATTATTCACTAGTTTGTAAGTGCAAACTATTTTAGGTTATTTATAGAATTATTTTGCAGTCCCTATATTTTGCTTATTAAACATAGTTAAGTGAACATAATATGGAGTAAATTTGAACAAAAATATAAAAACTTTGAACAGACCTGAGCGAAAAGTATTTCAAATTATATATAAAGTACAAAGTATTTAGTTTTTCTAAAATAGAATTGTAATTACCAAGTATATTTCACCTAGTAGTTACTTTTAAATTACTTCATTTATTTAATTAATTTAATAAGTATTTAAATTTCAAATACCAAATACTTTTTCTGTAAACAATTTGAATATTTGGTAATTAAAATTGTATTTTAGAAACAAAAAATACTTGTTATTTTAAGCAAAGTATTTTATAATACTTTTTTGCCCAGATCTACTTTGAAATTAGTCTGCTGTCAAATTATGATTTATAAACTTTCTGTAATAAGCAACTGGCTTGGCTGGTAATAAAGTGCGCTAGTAAACTACCTCAACTTTAAATTTCAAATTTGATGTACATGACTGGATCTTGGGTGCCTTAAAAGTTACCCTCCAGTCTTTTCTGTCCTAGATGACAGCCCATAAGATCCTGCCTGCTATTGAAACTTCCACCATTTATCTCAACTTCAGTTTTAACACTTTTCTTTCATATTGTTCCATGCTGAACACCTTAGTGATGTAGGCAGGAGTGCCCAGAAGTGGGTTTCATAGCGCAAGTTCAAAGTTATTGAGGGGGACACATTCTTGAGCAGTTTTGAATTTTTGAGGTGCACATTTTGATGGAGTTATGAATTTCAGTAGGAAACCATATTTCTGTGGTGTTTCAATTTGGAGAAAGTTTCTAACCAGAAAACATAGACAAAATGTGGAATAGAATACAAGCGTAATTGTATATGATCTACAATTTTTCTAATTCTTCTTTTGCTTGTGCTGTCTTTAAGGAGAGAAGAGATTATACATTTCTTGGAAGGGAAGGGACATAAGCCATCGATCTTGAGTGAAATAGCTCAACCCTTGGGTTTTGGTATCGTTACACCCATAAAACATGGCCTGAATCTTAGTACCTAGATATGCTTTACCACATTCTATTCATTATATAAGTTGGCCAGTATTATGGCTTATTCTCCCTTCTTGACTGATCTAAATTTCTTTCAGAGAATCATCCTTCTAGCTAAAAAAAAGCTGTTTTCTCTGGTTAGCCTTCATTCATTTTTCAGGATCATATATCAGAAGGATATTAGAATTTTGTACAGTAGCAGCTCTTTATACATCATGGTTGCAAACAACTTTTCATTTCCTTCAGATTATCATCACATCTATTGTCAATTGACATATATTTGGTCTTGCCTTCTTTGACATTACGTTCTATCTTTACTCATGCTGCCTATAGGGAGGTGAAAACTCCTGTCATAACAGTCGAGAATTCTTCTATTACACATATATCATCAGCATGAGCTAGTGTTTGTGTACTTTAGGTATTTGAAGTGTTGGTTGTTTACCAGCATCATTCACTATTTTTTTACAGTTGGATTAAACAGAATGCAATATATTGTCTTTGACCTATTTCGCACTGATATTTGACAGGCCTCCTTGTAGTTTTGCATTTCTGGCATCCATCATAATAACTCAGACCAATCTTATCAACTTTGGTAGCATTCCAAGTTTCTCATTGTTAAACCCTTGTTTATCCTTCACATATACCATATAATGTGACTAATCTGACAAAGAATAAATCTCCTGTATTGTTTAAACCACATACTTTTGAGCGAACTCTAGTTGCATTGGAACCTTTGCCTATATTCCTGGGTTATAAGTTTATTTCTTCAGACAGTACATAGATTTATATAACACATAGACATAAAGAAAGAGAGACATAAGGAATCTGTGTGTAGGTCAGAAATTTTATTTTGTTTTGTGCTACAATAAACCAGACATCTTATGGCACTTTGCCATTGTTAGTTGATTGTAAACTGTCTTTGATATAATGATATATAAATATGAGGTATAATGATGCTCTAATTAAACATCATAATCTCCAATATTATATTATCTTATAATGGCCAAGCACCGTAATTTCAAAATTCATTATAACCAGTTCTTGAATTTTTGATTTAAACATTCAAGTAAAATAAAAGTATGTGATATTAGAGGTTTGTTTTGTTTTAAAATCTAGAGTAGAAATGTTTTCAAAGTGATTTTAATATCCAAATTATTATTAGGTTTTTTTATAAACGTTTTTGTCTCAATTTTACTTTGATATCAATAAATGTATAGTTAATGATCGATAAATAGTTGAAATACACAAATAATATATAATAAGTAGACTGTATATTATTATGAAAGTATATAATACAGTTTTAGTACAGTTACAGTAATTTTAGCAAATTAGCAAAAGCTTCATTTAACAAGTAAATAATAAAAAAAATGAGGCTATATTAAAAGGGTATTCTTTTATGTTTTATAAAATGAAGTTGTGGTAATGTTTTTTTCATTTCCTTGAACAGTCATGATTGTTTCATATTAAAAGTAATTTAAATATTCATTTTACAAAAAAGATGTATGTTGATTTATTTATTGATCGGATATTTTTTTCATTCTATTTACAAGAGTTACTCCAATCTTTGGCACTCCTACTTTTTGGATAAAATGTGTTTTCTAGGCATTCTTATAAATACAAACCATAGGAAGTCTTTACAGAATGTACAGACTGTCGGCTGTCTGAAAAATTTGGCGAGGAACCGATGACCACGAACTTGATGGACTTTCTGATGCTTAACTGCTCCTCTCCGATGGGCGAGACCTTCAACTCTACTATCTCCATCAGGTGCTGAAAAGATATTTATTTAATATTAATTTTTAAATTAGCTTTCTTAACTTGAGAAATAATTGGCTTCCTTACCAAGCTGATTTGTTTATGAACAATGCATCTGATTTTTAAAAAGTTTTCCATTATTTAAAAAATGTATTTATTTCAATGATTTCAAAAATCATATGAACTGTGCAGCATTGGCAATTAAGACTTACAGTATTTGCTAAGTCATTAAATTAATACTTTGTAAAATCAATCTTTATGTGCTTAAATTGAAATGACTATATGAATTTTAAATTTATTCTAGATTTTTCTCCATCAGTACTCTTGTTAATAAAAGGGTTTTTGAAACGATCATTGATGATTCACTATTTTTCAGAAGGGTGTTTAATATCTTAGAACATAGTGTTTTCTCATCTCCTTACTAAATAAGCAAATAAAGATTAAGTATGAAAATTGAATCCAGAGAACCTTAGCAAGGTTTAGCTGTTGTATAGAGGTAGGTTTCCTTGAAAATATAAAAGTTCCAAATAAAAGGCCAGGTTATACCCTGCTCATTGATAACATTGGGCAATACTCAAATAGCTACAATGAAGGTGTTAAAACATTGCGCATAGAGTTTGAGCTACCATCTTTGAAAATCATATATAGGCTTTTCAAACAAGATGCAGCTTCTGGTTTCTGATCAGAGAAGGTTACAGGAAACTGAATCATATAAAAAATAAACTGGCACAGGAACCTTAATGAAGCAGTCATCTGTCTATTAGGTAATATGCTATGCACTAGTTATTAGTAGATCTAGCTGGGAGGGAGGGGCAGCAGCTGTTTAATGAAAAGAGAAATATAAGGAAAATTCATCCTCATAGACAAATTTTCTAATGTAATATAAAAAAAATATATTATTGTGAATAGCAATGCTGATTATTGCCAGGGGGCGCACCTTACCCCTCCTGATATTGGAAAACTAATCTTGAAAAAAATTACAAAAAAACAGCGTTTTAAAGAAAAGATAAATATAGGGAAAATTCATCCACATAGACAAATTTTCTAATGTAGTATAAAAAAACAATTATTGTGAACAGCACTAGTGATTTCTGCCAAAGGGCGGACCCTCCGCCCTCCTCCTCGGATGGTGGAAAAATAATCTTGAAAAAAGTTTCAAAAAGGAGCTATTTAAAGAAAAGAGAACTATAGAAAAAAATCATCCTCTAAGACGAATTTTCTAATGTGATATAAAAAAAAATTATTATCGTGATTAAGCCGGGGAGGGGGGCGCCCCTCACTCCCTTGGATGGTAGAAAAGAAGTTTCGAAAAAGCAGCTGTTTAATGAAAAAATAAATATAAGGAAAATTCATCCTTTTAGATGAATTTTCTAATGTAATATAAAAAAAATATATATATTTTGTGACCAGCATTTGAGAATTCGGCCAGGGGGCGCCCCCTCCCCTCCCTGGACGCTGGACGAAAATTCCGAAGTAGTTCCAGAAATAAGCTATTTAAAGAAAAGAGAAATATAGAGTAAATTCATCTTCAGTGAGGAATTTTCTGTTATATTAAAAAAAAATTATTATCCTGACCACTTTTATTGATCATACGGTTTGTCATAGACGTAACCTCACCACGCTGCGGATCAACTTGCGCTCGGTTTTCGGAGCACGGCGAGATTTTATGAAACAAAGAATAGAGTGTAAGAGCAAAAACTGGCTCGCAGGGTGGGGCCGCCGCACAGTTAGACGAGTTAGGGAAAACTGGCGGCATTGGCTAAATTTTTTTTTTTTTTAAATTGAAATATTCAATCAAATCAGTGAAAAATGTATATTCTGCCAAATAAAAATATTCTTATGAATTCCAGAAGATGTCAACAAAAGAGTTTATCTAGTTTTTAAGGTTTATATATATAATTGATTTAGCCGATGTTGCCTGTTTTCCTTATTCCTCCTACTGTGCGCCGTGAGCTGCGAAGGCTAGTACTCAAGTCGCTGTTGGTTCCTGCCTTCCCCGAACTGATTCTAGCAGGTGAAATTCATGATGGAGGAAAATTAATTTATAAAAAAAAATTAACTTTATTTATTCCTACAGAAAACCGTTTATTCGAGCACACGAAAATACGTTTTTTTTTTTCTCCAGTTCTTTTATTCAGTTACAATAGATCTGGACGCATCGCAATATCCAACAACTATAGTCTCCTTGAAGAGTCCATGTAATTCATAAACTGGTCACGACAATAATTTGAATGTATCTCATCAGAAAGTGTTTTTCTTTTCTTAAAATGGCTGCTATTGCCTCATTCTCACTACCCCACTGCTACTGAAAAGTCCATATGCTAGAAATGGCTAAGTAGCGTGAAAAAAAGGAAAAAACTAATGCCATCACTATCATTGAAAAAGGGCAATGAAACCCAAAACCATCTAGAATAATAAAACACTTCAAGAGTAGTACGGACGCCAGAACAATCTCTCATATTATAAAAAATAGATAAGTTGGTTAGAGAACGATCTTAGAGCATTTCATTTACTTTGAAGCTGTTCGAAAAATAAAGCTTTAGCTACGCCGAAAGCATAATTAAGATGGCTTATGGTGAAAAGCCATACAACAATGAAGAAACAAAAGATATAAAAACACTAAATATTTGGTTGACGGATTCTGTGGAATGATGCAATATACTGCTTAAATCGATAGAATAATTTTTAAGAAAGCTACAGGATGTATTGTCACTTTAAACTCAACAAACATAAATAGAATTTCGAAGTTTACAGGCACAAAAGTGAGTAATCTGAGTATGAAACACTGCCACATTATCAGCAGTTCCAGCCGAATATGCTCATGTACTCCGCCAAGAACGCACCCCTGCTTGGCACCAAATTTCTAATAATACTGATAATCTGTGACAGCTTGAAGTTTGTAATGTTTTTTGCTCAAGATGAATAATGGTATAGTGAATCTCTCAAAGCTAATGAAAATTAAGCAAATGAGAAATGAAAATACAAAGAGCATATTAGAACATAAATGTGAGTATATTATTTAATATTTTAAACTCAATTCAGTACTGCCACATTACTAAAATGAAGTATATAGTAAATATTATAGTTAATTATTGAGATATAATGTTCTTACGCAACAGTCGCTCTCTATCGGAGTCATAGACACTTGAGTAAGGCCTATGGTACGCTGTAGGACTGGTATGTGGCCTATGAGCTGGTCGGTGCACCTGGAAACAGATAATGATATGATATCTGAAAATAAAAGTTGCCATCATCAAATATTTCGTGTACTTTGTCATATAGAATGTGAAGAATTTGTGTAGTCAAATGTTGAGAAGGTAAATCTTATCTAGCATTCTTACCAGAATGAAACTGTTTATTCTATGAATAATTTATAATAATAATAATAATACTTTATTTGTGTTATTTGTATTATTCTGGGACGAGTCCCTTTAGAATAATACAGAAATACATAAATATGGGCTAAAGAGCCTTAGAGATACATAATAAAAATACAGAGTAATTAAACAGTCATAGTAAAAAAAATGAAAAATTATAAGTTACTTTCTAATTTTAATAAGTTAATAGAAAAAAAAAAATTAACAAAGAGGATAATAAAAATATGAAAGAACGAACTAATAATTATATACATTTTTACATCAAGTAAACTATATACAATTTTCATGGGGAACAGATGGAGAAGAAATGATTGAACAGGCGTGATTTAAAAGTAGGAAGGTATTAGATGTGACCATGTGGGAGGGATGTAGTTCCATAGATTAGATCGGATAAGAAAAGATCTTTTAATAGCAACGTTCGGGCCCCTTATGTACAAATCAGAAGACCGGGAACGAGTATGCTGGAACAACTGAGGATTGAATTGAAGGAGCTCAAGATGTATATAGATGGTGGATTGGTAAGAAGGATTCAAGCCATCACTCTGCATCAAAATGAAACAGAGGCGATCCCCCTTGGTATCCCGAAGAATGAATCGTACAAAGCATTTTATCAAACGTTTTAGTTTTTCACCTCGAGATCCCAAGAGACGCCCCCATATACCAACAGCAATAGTCAAAGTGGGGAAATTAAGGAATGACTAAGCCTACGGATTTCAAATGGAAAAACGTCTACCAATAAGTCATATACTTACTCACCGTTTTCCGTTGTATATTACAAGCTAAACAATTTTTCGTATAAATTACAATAAAAAATTCCCATACTGATTATGCTTAGTAGAGACCATTTCTTGCTCCTAAGTGTCCAATTAACGATTTTTTTTTTGTAGAAATTCTGTAAACTTTTAAAAAAAACATATACAATAATAGACAAATATGTGTATATTCTGAATGATTCGGAATTTAATTTTACCATCCCTCGTAAATTGTTTTGACTTCTTTCGTTGAAGTATTATATAGATAAGTTTAAAGCATAGAGGAAATGACTTATTCGAAGTTTCAATTAAAATCGTACATTCGTTTAGGCCTACAGTCCATATCTAAAAATATAAGCTTGTCGCTTGCGTAAACGGAAGGCTGGATGGAATTTTGATAAATGATATGGGACCATCTAGCACCAATCACTTAAGCCCTAAAATTCATGAAGATTGATAAACGCTCTAGTGATTTGCCCGTCACATCGATTTGACTACAGACAGACAGACATACAGACACTGAACCAAATTTGATCCTTGATGTATGAAATGTAAAACGCGAGTGGAAATTTTTGATTCTGAGCAAAAAAATTTTTTAATCTCTCGCACGAACACAATGCTTCCCTACTTCGGTAGTGAGGAAGCAATAGGTGACGATAATAATTTAGACGTTTTAGAGTGGAAATAGTACGGCGGGAAATTTATATCATGAAAACTTAAGTTATTGTTATATTTATTTTAATGATTAAAAGATCATTGGCCTTAGTAATCAAAGACGATGCTTCTGACCAAGAAAGACATTACTGCATTAATTTTACACGTAAGTAAATTATTACTTACTTTGTATTTCTAACTTGATAGTATCTCTTATCCCCACCGTTTTTCATTATGTTTTATTTCATTTTTTTTACTATCACCTAAAATAAGTCAGATTTAGGACTAAGGAGGCTCAACAACGTTTCCCGTGCCCATTTTATCATAAAATGAATTCCTCGAACGTCAGAGTTGAAAAAAATATTATTGTAAAACTAGAAATAGCACTGTCAAGGGACAACGGGCAGACTAAGGGCATTTACCTGATAGATGTGTTATTATTGGTTACTTAAAGATCAGCCATAGCTAAATAGAAGTTATCTGACCCATCATCTATATACTGCGAGCGGGAGAATTCACTATATCAAAGGAAGCACAAGGTGGATGATCAGCGATTGGGGTTGCAAAAATTACTTGTTATAAGTCGAATGGCAATCATCCAACTCTGTCGGGTTGCCATTGTAACGTGGTAGGTGAAATTCGTGCTCTATCAACAAAACATCAAGTCGGTCCAGAAACCGTGCTGCAAGGAACATGGCCACATGATTTGGCCCCATATTAATTATTCTCACAGTAGTTGAAAGAGGAGACCCCAGTGCTGCTATAGTGTTAATAACCTAAATATGGATGTGATGGATCTGAGCCAAAATAGAATTATTTCTTTTCTTTCTTTTTTTTTTTTTTTGTATATATTTCTCCTAAAAAAAAAAGTTAATTATTTATTCATCTCCTTAAAAATAGATTCTAAATCTCGCACTAACGTTGTCTAGGAACTACTGGAGAATGCAATACAGCCCATTGATAGACCTCTTCTTTTCTCAGTTCAACTCAACGTAAACAAACATAAACCCTATTAGAAATAGCAGAACAAAATTTTGATTTGGCATATAGCCACTACCAAATGGTAAGCCATTTTTATCTATTCCTAGGGATGCTGCGTTGTAACTGTAAGAAACAAAACAAAAGAAATGGAGGAAAAAGGAACAGATGGAACAAACATCATATAATATTTATAACAGGAAACGAATTCAGTAAAAATGATTCTAAATCTTTACTTTTTTTTTCTAAATTACTGAACTTCATTCGTTGTCATCATGCCATTTAGACAGATATACTTAAATCAATTTTCTGTATTTCAATTAATTATTGTAGGTATGCGATATATCCTTATAAATCTGGCGAGAGGAGACTAACCAAGCAATCTTTTTACATTGATCACAATTTTGATGCTATATCTATATAAATAATATAGAATATATATTTTTTATGGCAACGAAATTTTAATTTTATTGAAAGACAAATGTGTGGTTTTTGCTTTATTTTTTAGCTGCTTTAAAAGATATTGAAAGCCACAAACCAGGTCATTTGGCTTCGTCTTGTGCTAATGAATGGACGTTTAGTGCAGTCGTAAAATGTTTGTGCTACCTGGCTTCGAGCCATTGTGCTTCGGTTTCTGTTCTCCATTCCAATTGAATTTTTTTTTTTCTCGTAAACGAAGTCTACTCAATCTCACGTCTGTAAACGATAACTATTTACATAAAGCCTCTTAGTGGATTGATTCACTAAAATTCACAATATGATAATGATACAGCTCGTATCGTAATCTATGATCAGCATAGAATCGTAATCTACACATTTGTCAGAAATGACTAAATGGCTAAGAGATTACGATTCTTAAAAAATTCACTAAGTATTTTGAAAAATTGAAGATAGAAACAAATATACAAAAAATAGTTGCAATCGTTTTTACAAAAAGACCATTGATTACTTGACTGAATATAGTTGGTAGAATGTCTCCATATTTCAAGTGATATTCCCAACATTTAAAAATAAACTGAATCTATATAAGGAAGTAATCCGCTGTATACAGAAAACTTGAAGTGATTCAATGCATATGCACGTGAATTATAATCCACCATTACTCTAAAATAAGCACCACGGTTTTGAAACTGCAGCTTCTAACGATAAATCGGTATATTTATTTGAAAACATTAAGAATTTTTTAAGATTACCCGTGTCCAAAAACCTCATGACCCAAACATTAGGAAACTGTAAACCATAAACCGCGGTGTTAGAGCGAGTCAAGGCGCCAGCTACGAAGCTTAAATTTACTTACTAAAAATTTTAAGCTAAGAATTTAAAGCCAAAAAAAAGATAAAAAATTATTCATAATAAATAAAAATAAATAAGTGCAGTCCCTATTCGATTACTTCGATCCGCCCCTACAGTTCGATTTCCGCATTAGGACGGTAACGTACCCATTCTTAGATTCACAGGAAGGTGAGCGACTCCTGTGCCTTTTCAACAACATAGCTCCTGATCCTCAAGATTTGGGATTAAGCAAAGGGCCCATTATTAAGCACCATTAACCCTATTACGTAAAAACCAGCAGGATGGAGAAGTCTGCAAAAGGACTATCAACTATCCTAATGAAGAGGGAGTGATTAAAATAAAGGGAGTGATCGCGTATCTATAAGAGTACACGAGAACCAAACGATCACAGCTTGTCGCCTGGAACAGCTCCGTAACTGCTAGAGGACAAATGACGGAAGTCTAAAAGTCAAGAGGCGTTTGAAAACAAAACAAAAAAAAAACTTTTGATTATTAGGTTTATCGAGATGACAAAATTGATTAGCCGAATTCCATTATCATTACTATAGTCCTGTTAGCTGTCTTTACCGATTGTCGGAAAATAAACTTCTTCCCAACCTTCCGTTAGCGTCTCCTAAAATTATTCTCATGCGGCTTCTTCGAAGGTTGTCATAAACCCACTCCAGTTTATCTTAAATTTCGCATTTTCTTCATCATCATTGTACTCATTCAAATAATGTATATGTATCAACGCGATTTTAAACCAACGCCCTATCGCTAATATCGCTAAAGAATTTTATGTCCTTTAAAGCGGATAGAAATATATTTCTAATAAGGAAACTGGTACCTAAACAATGCTTTCCGCTTCCTCCGTACCAAATAGTGTACTTACATTCCTTTATGGATCCTTCCTATTGCCAGGAACCTCTTACGATACCACGATATCTAAATTATACCCATTATTTTCATTTGCGAACAATTTTAACCCACTGCTGTATTCAAACTTTTTACGTTTCATGTCCCCATTCTTCAATCCCTAGTTTTCAACTTGCATCATAAATCCTGTAAAGCAGTATGAAACCCGGAGACCCAAACGAGGAAGAAGTATTTTGTTAATTATGGAAATGTGAGTAGGGCGTTCCATTCTATGTCATACCCTCCAGCAAGTCTGGA